GTTGCGATCCGTTGCCGGACACGAAAAAAGACAAAAAGGAAAAAAAAAAAAAAAGAAAATATCCTTTCTACTAAGTAAAGGCAAAAAACACTCCTTAAACGCTAAAAGAATTGTTTTATCTTTAAAAAAAAAAAAGCTCAATTTTTCCAGACAAAAAGATTTCTAATACAAATTTAGACATCTACAAACCTTTAATGGGAATCAAATCTCTAAAAGTTGATATGAGAGGCAAATACCTCAGCCAAGAACAGAAGAGCAGTGTTACTGTGAGCAGAAAGCCTGTGAGAGCTTTTGTGAATATCCACCCAGAATGGAGAGACTGCACCCAGAAGACAATTTCAATAGTATAGGGGACTAAGAAATCAAATTTATTTTTAGTGGGATGATTAGGGATTATAAATCAAAAGAGATAAATAAGCACAATTCTTTAATTTGACACACTGAGATATTTATGTAAGTTGTACTGTTTTATAGTAATGCTGGGAATGATGCAATTACATGTGGATCTGCAGTCACGACAGTTTAGTGGTCTAAGCGATGCTACTGCAATTCAGATGGTTTCACAACCATCCCAGCTCGTATGAGATGCTCCTCCCTGCCATCACCCCTTTGCAGGACAGCAGGAGAAAAAGTTCTGGGTAATGTCAGGAAACAGGAGCTGTTCTGATTCTGCCTGAAATAGCAGGTGAGAGGTCAGGGGGTAAGAAGTTTAGGAAGTGAGGAGCTGGCAGCAGGAAGTGGGTGTGCAGTGATAGGGAAAGAGAAACGGAGAACACCTCTTCCTTTTGCTCTTCCTTCAGACCCAGCTCTACCTCCCAACACGAATGCACATTCTCCTGAATCCCGCCTGAAACCTGCCACACTGTTTCTTTACAGATTCTTAAGCGTGGAGAGAACACCAGGAATTCATCTGTTCTGGCATCTTCCCACTAATATAATGCAATGCCATTTATTTTGCATTATTGCAATAAAACTTGAATTTTCATTTCTAAAAAACCTTTAAGCATATAAATCACCCACTTTCATTGATTCTTAGCTGTGTGAAATTCAATGATACTCTTTTCAAATTGAACTCAAGAAGAGTTTCATTGCTATCATTTACACCGTGAGGAGCCCTTTTCACTATATTAACACAATATTCAGGAGCCCCCTCACTTCTCTCTCTCCATCGAATCAAATGTTTGTGGAACAGTTTAAATTCTGGTTTTGCATTTGGTTTTATAAAGGTCAAGCATTTGGGAAGTGGAGAAATGGCATGCCCGCCTCTGGTGTTAAGTATACGAGGATACTTCAAAAAGCTCGCGGAAAAATAGAATTAAAAGATAATACAAATCTTTCCATGAACTTTTTGAAGACCGCTCATATATTGCATTGTATACAGTGTAATTTGCCCTAAAATCTTAGAAAATAACTGATGGTTGGTAAAAA